AGTGCTGTCAAATTGGTTCCGACTCCTACCAACCCCGTATAGGGTTTCTGAGGAGCAGCTGATGAGTTTGAACTGTCAACCGTGCGATTGGCATTCCAGTGCTCATCCTATAGCGCCACATCAAGACTCCTAACTGCTAAATAGAAGCATTTGTTAGCTGTTTCCATTTCTCTGGTTTTGGCTCAGTTTTCAAACTGGTGGTTTTCACAGCTACTGGGCTTGCCAGGGTGCTGATTTTTAAGGCTCCTATGAAGCTGAGGAGAAGAGGATGGAAAGACTCCAAGTTAAAAAGCCACAAATCTTGCTGTTCTTACTGAGATCCAGCAGTTTGTCTTGACTGACAGCGTCTCAGTTGGTTAGTTTCCAAAGTCCTTTTAAAAAGTTTATTCTGACCACTTATGCCAACAGCAAGTTTATGGTGGTCCTTGCCCTGGCATCCCAGACTTCCTGTCTCTCGGTGCCTCTTCTCAAAGTGTTTTGTCATGCATATGTAGATTTCAATGGGAATCTTAGTTCTACCACTTCGGAGAACTGCTCACGACTAACTGAACAAGCTCACTGAGCCTGCAGTTCTAAACTTTTTAAATGGTAGTAATCATCTCTACCTTTCCCTATCCTTGTGCAGATCAAATGCTTTTGGCACAGGACCTGCCATATAGTTAAATGCCCAACAAATAGTTTCAAATCTATAGTTGCATATATCTAGACTCTTTTGGGACGGATGCAGTAATATATCAGTCTGCCTTACATTTCAGAATTCTTTTCAAGTACCCGAACGTTTAGTACTGCATTCATGGGAATTTAGAGTATTACCCACTTAAACTAAGTGCCCTGAAAATAATGCACTCTTCACTTGATGACTAAAGATCATTCTCATAAATATTAATTATTCAGACTAGTACTATTGTTGCTAAATACCATCGTGTTGGTTATGACCCATAGCGACCCTGTATAGGGTTTCTGAGGAGTATCTAGTGGACTTGAACCGAACTTGTGGTTCAAACCGACCTTTCAATCCAATGCGTTAACCCATAGAGCCACACCAGGGCTCCACTAACTTACAATAAAGCAATGTTGTTGTTGCTGTTGTTAATTGCCATTGGGTCGGTTCCGACCCATAGCCACCCTGAACAGTGTTTCTGAGGCTGTAAATCTTTACGGGAGCAGAAAGCCTCCTCTTTCTCCCTCGGAGCAGCTGGTAGTTTCGAACTGCTGACCTTGCGGTTCACAGCCCGAATCGTAACCAGTACGGTACCAGAGCTCCTTATAATAAAGCAATACATGATATTAATTCTTCTTAAGTTTACTTTAATGCTATTAATTTTTATCACATTATGATTTCAGAGTTATGGAAGTTCATTACTTTGCTATGTGGTCACGTTTGTAGTTTTAATCCTTTTTTTTTTTTTTTTTTTTTATGTTCTATTTTTTTATTAATTATATATTATTCTTTAGTCTATTCCATCTGCTGCAAATCTTTTTTTTTTTTTTTTTTAATGTTTTATTGTGTATTGAGCTTACTTGGAGGAACATTAGCTTCACATTCATTCCATCCCACATCATTTCATTGCCTCAGTTACCATCCCGTCCATGCATCATCCCCCAATGAAAGGGTATACCTTGCATGTCCCCCCCCACACCATGGTCCCCAGCACCCGGCCCCCTTCCCTCTCTGGGTCCCAACTCCCCAGGCACTCCATCTCTTCACGTCATCCTCTCTGTCTTCATCTTAGGCTTCACTGCTTCTCTGGGTGGGGTCCCGCTCTCCGCTCTTCTCCGTTGATGGTCCCAGGGCCCTCTGCTCCTAGACTGAAAGGTTAGTCACTCCCCTCCTTGCTATAAAATATCCGCCTCTACATTTCCAGTCCTCACAATCAGTCCTGGTAACAATTTTCACCATTGCATCACATGAGACCCATCTGCATTTCTTTTCATCAGCCCTTCCTAGACAGGTTGGGTACTATTCACTGGAGACTCCACTATCTTCCCCACCCTGTGGATCTAGGTTCCCTCTTGAAAGCTTGTAAGCCAGTCACTTCTTACCTTTGCATCCATTCCCCCATTTTGGGTAGCCAATGTTCAAGTTGCCCATCCCTTTCCACTCTTTGAGTGAAGGGGGTAGGGATAATTCTTGTAGCCAGGAATTGTTTCCTCTTTTGAGCTACTGCAGTTATAGGTGTAGGTTCAGTTCATCAAGTTGTAGCAGATGACACTTTCTTTTTTTTTTTTCTTTTTCCTCTTCTTTCTTCCTCGGGTTGAGTTCTGTTCATCTAGTCACTGAAGCCAGGTCAAGTGGGTATCATCTGCAAGTGTGGGTGTTTTTGCGTCTGTCTGCCCTCTTCTTATCAGCTGGTCTCTTGGCTCTCTGCTCTAGTCCTCTGTGGCTGTGTCACTGACTCTGAGCAGGTCCCTTGGTCCTGCCTCCCTGCTGACTAACTGAGTCTCCAGCCGGGTTCGCAGTAGTCTGCAGAATGATGCAGGGCTTAGTTCGCTGCTTCCTTGGTGTTCTTCAGTCACTTCCCTTTATGGGTGGCGTGCGTGGGCGCCAATCAGAGCATGTATTTCCATGGGAAAGGATTTGCCCTGAGAGGACCCAGCCACTTGCCTTGATGCCTCCTGGGCTAGCAACTTGCTTGTTCTTGTGGTAACAGTTGGACTGTCCTTACTCTTCTGTATTTTTCCTGTAGGTCTTTCTTTCAAGAAGTGTCTTATGGTTTTCTGGCTGCTCCAAGCTAGTCTGATTGCCCTTTCGAGAGGAAAGTTTCCTGTCTCTGAAGGTCTGGATGTGGTTAGGCTTCGATCTATATTCTTATGTACTGCCGAGGCTCTTCATGAAACCTCTTTCACTGGATACATTGTAGTGTGGGTGTTCCAACCAGTTACAGGCAGAAGACGGACTTACAAGCTTTCTATGGTGATATCTCTGGCTAGTCCTTTCTCTCCCCCTCCAGTGTCTGATTTATAATATGATGTATGAGAAACCAAGATTCAAAAGTCAACCAAGCATCTTAACATTATTCCCCCCTTTTCCCCATTCCAACCATATTCCAGTCTCTGTATCCCAGAGCCCTGTTGTTCCAAGGCTGTGCCTATCTCTTTTTTTACTTCTGTCCCATTTAGTTCATTCATACCTGTCAAGTTGTTCCCCCATCTGCTTTGTTCTTCCATTCCCCCTCCCTACTTGCATATTGCCTCCCTCCCCCCACCCAAACTGTCCTGTGTCTACTCCCTGCTCAGTGCTCCCCCTTCCCCTCCTGCCCTTAACCCTGCCCCTGCGTCCTAGCAGCCTGCTAAGAATTCACTTTAGTGGGATAGTATGGGTTCTTTTTCTTAGACTTTTACAGTAGTGGTCCTATGCAGTATTTTTCCTTTTGTGCTTCACTAATTTCACTCAACATAATGTCCTTAAGGTTCATCCATGTTAGGAAGTGGCATGCAGCTTCCTTGTTATTTTTCAAGGTAGCATAGTACTCCATTGTGTGTATGTACCACAGCTTGTTTATCCATTCTTCAGTCGATGGGCTTTTTGGCTGTCTCCATCTTTTTGCTATTGTAAATAGCATCTGCTGTAAATCTTAAATCTACTGTTCTGTTCTATATACAGTTGTTCTGGGAAGTATGTGGATTTCAATTATCCATACTTTTTTCTTGCAAAACCAGTGTGTTTTGCATACTAATGACTTCCTTATTTCTTGAGTTCAGATAGAGTCTCCTTTTCTACCTGCCTTTGGGAATGTATCTGCAGATTAGCCAACTTAGAGGGGACAGCAAGCATGAATTGTAGAGGGACTAAGGTATATGAGATTTGGCTTGAAGATTGCAGGTGAGGTGGCCATGTAGTCATGTTTATCTGAAAGGTTGAAGGCAAAGATAGGATTAGATTATATCTATAATATACCAGCATGTCCACAGCAAGGATGTATTAGGGTAACCAGGTCTATGGATTGAAGAGAAAGAATATAGACGGAAGCAACTGTATTTTATTTATTTATTTAATTGAAAAGTGACATCCTTTATTTACCTATCAAACTTTCTTAAACATTTGAAATGCCTTTGTATTTATGCTCAGGTTCTATAGCGATACCATGTCTTCCATTTTGTCTCTCATTCCTCTAAAGTAAATTTGTCTTTCATAACACCACTTATTTGTTATTATCCAATATCAAGAACAATACAGATTGTCACATATTTGAAATTGATAGTAAAACTGGAGATTTCATCAGTACATTTTCAAGATAGTATGAAAGGTAAGCTTTAACCACACAGTTTATGGCAATGACATATTTCTGGGAAGTGAAGTATCCCCATTGTATTAAAAAAAAAAAAAAAAAAAAACAGTATAAATTCCAGAAGCATTTTCTTATACTGGACATTATCATTCAATATGGTTCATCTTTATAGTAATGATTTCAGATAATCATTTTTCTATTATTTTCGAGGGCTCTATTTGATACCTTCAGACTTAATTCTTGAATGTCAATGACAAAAATTTTAACAAAAAGATTGGGGTGAAGTTGAAAATACATATCTTAAGGTAGATTTTGCTTTCTAAAGGAGCAAACACAGCAGAAGAAAGCTACTAGCTTTTTAAGAGTTACATATACATAGTAAGAACTAGAAATGAATCCCAATCCGTAACATGACTTTGTACATTAGAAATATCTGCTGTGCCACCAATACAACTGTCCTAACAATATGACTTGAGGTTTGGAACCATACATACCATTCTTTGTGTAACTCTGTGCTTGCATTCTCCAACCATATGTTTTCCTCATGACCTATTAACTGTAGGAAACTTTTAACTAGAGTTTTTGAAAATATGCTTTTTTTCAAATATAACATAAGCCCCATAAAAGCACTATCATTAATGTTTGACAAATGAATTGGGCCAAGTCTTTCTGAAATATGTGTAATCTTTAAAAATATTACTTTTCTTTCATCAATCAGCAGTGCTCCATCTTCAAATAAATCATGAGCAGTCACAAACTTAACTCAGATGCTCATATGTTCTCTTCATCCAACATTTTGTTGATGCCATCACAAAGTTTTTGTAAGTGGGGTTTGAATTTTCCAAAGGGATTATACAAGGCAACCAAAAACTCACAATCTGAAAAATGATCGAAGACATTATTAACCCGTCCATGTGACTTTGTGGTGAGGTGACGCTGAATGATTTGGTGAAGCATCTCTCTGCATTCATTTAGCAGCCTGGATAACATATTCCGGTCAAAAGTGTAATCCACTTGGTGGAAGCTGACCATGGTCATAGCAAGCTGATGAACTTTCTCCTTAAATTTCTCCATGAGTGTCAGCTCATCTTGATTAAATTGATTGTTCTTGTAAAGAATGGCCAGCTTGATGACAGTTTTGATGAGGTCTTTAATGATTTTTTCTGCCTCCTTCTTGTTTTGGGTGTACTCTTTGGACACTCTGTAGAGTTCATCCAAAATCTCGCGGCTCGTGTCATCTATTAAGGTGGTGGCAATAGATTTGGACACCATTTTACCCAAGATCTTCTTTTGTGCCTGAACAGCCAGGTTTTTGGAATCAAACACATCTGTGGCCACTTCCTTGGATTCATCTGCTTTGGAGCTCATGGTATCAGGGTAAGCTGATGCAGGGACAATTATCACTGACATGTAGTCAGAGAAGCTGCAACTTCACACTCCACAGCTAAAACTCACACAAAACAGAAAATAAAAGGAAGGAAAGCCACTAAAATCAAAATCTCTCCGGGAGGGAGCAACTGTATTTTAAAGGTTCTCAGAATTCAAGCTTAGTCATGAAGAATATGGATACTCATTGAAACCAAAAGCACAAACAGCAAAAGAACAAATAAATAATTTGGATTTCATTAAAATTTTTTGTGCATCAAGAAACACGATCAGAGAAGATGCCACAAGGTGGCAGCTTAGTTACACCATACCATCCTTCTATAAAGAGCTCTGGTAGCGTAGTGGTTACAAGTCAATCTGCTAATCTCACGGTCAGCAGTTCGAAACTACCAGCCATTCCACCAGAGAAAGATGAGGCTTCCTGCTCCCATAAAGATTTATAGCCTTGGAAACCCTGTACAGGGTCGCTATGAGTCAGAACCTACTCCATGGCACACCACCACCACCATCCCGCTATAGCAAAGACCTGAGACCAAGTGAAACAGATACAGATGACAACCCTAGAACCTTGAGCATCAAATGGGAGGATAGAAAATTAAATTGAACAATGACTGGAAATAGAAACTGAATGAAAACAGTGAATGAGGAGAGATTCAGAAGAGAGGTGCCTGCCAGTCAGCCTGGCACAGCGTGGCCATCTTGAGACAAAGCAGGCAGCAATCCCAGATGAGGAGCATAGGGAGGCAACTTCACAAAATCTACAATCAGAGACTGAGAAGCTGTGTAGGCAGACCCAGGGAGAAGCAAGTTAAACAAAGCATAAGGTGGATATAACGAAGGAAAGGAAGGGATCTTGGCATGCACAGAGCAGGAAGGGAGTCCGGATCTAGAAAGAGAGCTACTCACCAGCGGTGATCGCTGACCACTAGGGTCGGTGGTGCACATGGAGTAATAGATCCACAGTGTCAGCAGGAGGATCTCCACCTGACCAGAACATGAGCAGCACCCCCTCTTTGTGCTTCGGGAGGGCCAGGCCCTGATTGCTGGCTACAGTTAATCAGAAATGTTAAGGTACCCATGCCTGATGATCAGAGGAATATGCTCCCCCTCTCCCACCCTCATGGTAATTAGTAGCATGAACACCCCCCCACCCCTGCCGCCCTGCCAGCCTGGGTACCACAGTATGAGTCCTTCCTTCCTCCCCATCCTACCCCATCTGCCCACCCCTTCCTGCCAACTCAGCAAGCAACAGTAAGCACCCCTGCAAAGCTGGTCACTCACCATACTTCTTACCCATCACCCTACCAACCTGCTGAGCAGCACAGAGCACTCTGTACTCCTGGTTGCCCATCACACCCCCAGCCATCACCCCACCTATCCAGTGAGTGACTGTGAATGCTCCGCACTTCTCCCAGTTCCCTGCCATGCATAAGCTGGATCTGACTGCACCAAGCAGTAGAGAATGCCTTGGCTCCTTATTGCCTGCCACGCCTTCATCTTTTGCTCTGTCCCCCCTCAAGTGATAGAGGACACCCTGATCCAGAGGACTGGTGACAGTCACCCAGTCTACCATCAATTCCCAGCATACCCAGTGAACAGAAACACACAATCATCCTACCTGCCACTGCCCGAACACCCAGAGATAGGTGGTGAGGACTCCTGTGTCACTGGTTTAGTAGAGTATGCTGGCCCCACCTGCCATTATTTATCGAAACAAAACAAAACAAAAAATCAGGACAAAATTAACCATCAATCAATAAATAAAATTACCAACCCCTTAATACACCAAAACAGCAAATAAATAACATACTATGTGAAGAAAAAAATCCAGGATAAGGTGGTTCAGGAAGTGAGCAAAATAAAAGGGCAGAAAGCTTTCCCAGAGAAGAAATGGTAATACAACTACCTGATAAGGAATTCAAAAGACTTATAGGTAAGATTCTCAAAGACATTAAGGAAAACACACATACAAAACCCCAGAAATTTTCAGGAAAACTAAATAATAAGCTATATAAACAATTAGAAACCATAAAAAACAACACAACTAGAAATCCAAAAGATTATTAATAAAATATCAGAAATAGATAAGTCATTGGAAAGATACAGAACTAGAATGGAATCAATTGAAGAAAGAATCAGCAAAATTGAGGCTAAATTCCTTGATATTAATTTGTTTACAAAACAATCCGAAAAACAGAATAAGGAAAAATTAAGAAAGCTTAAGAGTTTTGTGGATCACTATCAAAAAGACTACTTTATGCATAATTGAAATTTCAGAAGAAGAGAGGGGAAAAGTACAGAGAAAATGTAGAAGGTTTATTGAAAAAAAGTATCCTTAATATCATAAAAGATGAGATTTCCATCTAAGAAACTCAACAAACCCCATACAAGATAGAACCCAAAAGAAAGTAATCAATACATATTACACTAGAACTTTCCAAAATGAAAGACAAAGAATTCTGACTCATTAAATAAATAAATGAATGAATGAAATACCACATATACAGGAGTTCTCAGAAAACCACTTAAACAAACAGGAAAATGCTGTTGGGTTATACCTGCCAAACTTTCAGTTAGCAGTCCAGTGCTTATCCTACAGCACCAGGCCCGGACTCCTTTTTGTCCCTTTTTGTTGTTATTGTGATGTGCCGTGGAGCTGGTTCTGACTCATAGCGACCCTGTGCAGAATCCTAAGGCTGTAAATCTTTACGGAAGCAAAAAGCCTCATTTTTCTCCCGCAAAACAGCTGGTAGTTTCAAACTGCTGATCTTGTGTTTCACAGCCCGATTAGTAACCACTACGCTACTAGAGCTCGTTTCCTTGAGGGTTTATTGTTGTTGTTAAGTACCGGGGAGTCGATTCTGACTCATAGTGACTCATCTTTCTCTCACGGAACATCTGGTAGTTTCGAACTGCTGACCTTGAGGTTCGCAGCCCTATTCGTAACCACTACGTTGTCCATAGAATCCTTCAATATTGCAACCTGATGCTTGAATTTTCTCTTCAGTTCTTTCAGCGTGAGACATACTGAACATGTTTTTTTACTTTGTCTTCTCAACCTGCCCTTTGAAATGTTCTGTTCAACTATTTTACTACCTCATTTCTTCTAGTTACTTTTAGCTTTTCTATGTTCAATAGCAAGTTTCAGAGTCTGTTCTGACATCCATTTTGGTCTTTTTTTTTTCATTTCTGTATTTTTAATAACCTTTGGCTTTCTTCATATATGATGCTTTGATGTCTTTCCACAACTCTTCTGTCTTGGGTCGTTAGTGTCTAATGCATCAAATTTGTTCTTGAAATAGTCCCTATATTCATGTGGTGTGTATATTCAAGGTCGTTTTTCGGTTTTCATGAACTTGTTTTAATTTTCTTCAGCTTCACTTTGATTTTGCTTATGCGCAATTGATGATGTGTTCTACAGTCAGCCCCTGGCCTTATTTTGCCTGATGATTTCAAGCTTCTCCATTATCTCTTCCACAGACATAGTGAACTTGATTCCTGTGCATCCCATCTAATGAGGTCCACGTGTGTAGTCATCATTTATGTTGTTGAAAATAGGTACTTGCAATGAATAAATCATTGGTCTTGCAACATTCTACTATGTGATCTCCAGAATTTTTTTCAGTCACTAAGTCCATATTTTCCAACTACTGATACTTCCTCTTTGTTTCCAACTTTCATATTACAATCACCAGTCAATGCATCTAGATTGCATGTTTGATCAATTTCAGACTGAAGAAATTGGTAGAATTCTTCAATTTCATCATCACTGACTTTTGTGGTAGGTGTGTAAATTTGAATAACAAAGGAATTAACTGGTCTTCCTTGTAGGCGTATGGATACTATTGCATCACACAGCACTGTACTGCAAGATAGATCTTGAAATGATCTTTTTGGCAATGAATGTGATGCCATTCCTCTTCAATGGCCATTACTGGAATAGTGAACTATATGATTGTCAGGTTCCCAATGGCCGACAACAGTTCATTTCAGAGCACTAATGCTTAGGATACTGATCTTTACATGTTCCATTTCATTTTTGTCAACTTCCAATTTTCCTAGATTCATACTTCATACATTTCACATTCTAATTATGAATGGGGTGTTTGCAGCTGTTTCTCCCTATTTTGAATTGCATCCCATCAGCAAATAAAGGTCTCGAAATCTTTGCTCTATTTATGTCATTACGGTCAATTCTACTTTGAGGAGGCAGTTCAATTCTTCTCCAGTGGTATTTTAAGTGACTTTAAACCTGAGGGGCTCTCCTTCCGACACTATATCTGACAATGTTTCACTGCTATTCATAAGCTTTTCAGAGTCTAGTCATTCAGAAGTGGTCCGATTCTCCTTTGTCTTTCTTAGGCTGGAAGCTCTCCTGAAACCTGTCCCTCATAAATGGTCCTGCTAGTATTTGAAATATCTGTGGCATAGCGTCCAACATCACAGTAATGCACAAGTCACCACAGTATGGCAAACTGACAGATGAGTCAGTCCTCATAGACATATACAAAACATATCACAAAAAAAGCGGCACAGTACACATTCTTCTCTAATGCATGTAAATTATGCTCCCAAACAGACCATCTCTAGGGCCACAAAGCAGCCTCAGTAAATTTTAAAGTACTGAAATAATACAAAGCTTCTTCTATGATCATGATGCTATAAAAATATAAATCAATAACAGCAGGAACAAGGAAAATTAAATATATGGGAACTGAATGACCCCTTACTTAGAAGCTGTTGGGTAATAGAAGAAATTAAGCTTTCCTCAGCTGCCACTAAGATGCTCAGTTCTTCCGAGGAAGCTAAGGCCCGCAGCTGTTAGCCCAACATTACCGTACCACAGCCTTCATCAGTAGAGTTCACCTACATCTACTCAGTCCTTATTCTGCATGATGATGAGGTGACTGTCACGGAGGACAAGATCAATGCCTTCGTTGAGGTAGCCAGTGTGAACATTGAACTTTTCTGGTCTAGCTTGTTCACAAAGACCCTGGTGAATATCAACATCGGGAGCCTCATCT